TATATGTGGAATATGACATGGAAGACAGCAGAGAAAAGCAACATCTGCCCAGCCTACCAGCTGCTTGTTGTTATAGACACATTCAACTCCCAGCTTGTGGAATTCTACTAAAAAAAGATAATGAAAAAAATATTTAATTTCTGCTCCCATAGAACAAAACTTTAATTGAAGAGGCTACAATCTTTAGTTTCCTTCTAAATCTCCAGAAAAATAAGCACATTAATTTGTTACAATTCTATTGCTGTTGCAGCTTCTTCTTTTAGCTTTGACAAAAAGTACAGATTTGATCTTCTAGCACAGTCCCCCAACCTTTCGGGCACCAGGAACCCGTACTATGGAAAGGTGTTTTTCTGTGAACTGGAGGGGGCGTGGTTTCCTTGCTGTTTGCATCTCGTGGATGTGGGTTTGCTTGTTTGCGCGGCCTGGTTTATGCCATGCTGCGCATCAGTGCTGGTCCATTGACCGGGGGTTGGAGACCCCTGTTATAGCAGACCTATACTTTTTGTCTCTCACTCTTTTTAGTCTATAGTTATTATCCTTAACAATTTGTAGACACACATTATTTTTATGTTATAATTATTGATTTTATAGTCTATATTTTTTCTTTATGCTGATCAATGATCGCAATAAAGATACATATAGTATCTATGTCATCCTATCAGTCTTGGCTAGGATGGCTAGTGATCAAGGATTATGGGAACTGAAATCAAAGAACATAGAGAGTACAATAGCATCACTGGTGTGATGTGTGAGTTCTATATCTCCATAAAGATAAAGGCTGTATACAAATGTGTATAAAAATAACAAAGATTGTCATTCTGGGACTTCTACAATATAAGATGAAAATATGAAAAAAAAATAGAAGTGGGGATATATGGTTTGGAGGGAGGGATAACATTTAGTTTCTTCTACAGGTAGTCCCTGACTTATGACCACAATTGGGACCAGAACTTCCATTGTTAAAGTAGATGGTTGCTAAGTGAGTCTTTCCTCTTGCTGTTAGTGAATCTCTTAATTCAGTGAATCATGTGTTTGTTAAGCAAATCTGGCTTGGCTTCCCTCATTGACTTTGCTTGTCGGAAGCTCCCTGGGAAGGTTGTGAATGGTCATGTGACCTTGGGATGCTCCAACCATGGTAAATAGATGCCAATTGCCAAGCACCTGAATTTTGATCACATGACCATGGGGATGCTGTGATGATTGTAAGTGTGAATACTGTTTGTAAGTCACTTAAAACGGTTGCTAAACAAAAGGTTATAAGTTGAGGACTACCTGTACTGCATCGGTTATTACTAAATTATATTTTATAGATTTGTTTTTCCTTCTAAGTCCCAAGAATTCCTATGGTAATGGTGGTGAAAGAAAGCACCTCTGTTTTTACAAATTGGATTTTTCAATGGGAAAGTGGCAGCTAACTGGGCCAGTCTTTAGCAAACACTCATCTTCCTGCTTAGGATAAACTAGAGGATAAACTTTTCCCCAAGATAAAGGTGCCATTTAGATGCAACCAAACAGTATTCCTTTTAAACAAATCCTGAGACTTTTTGTATTTGTTTCCTATAATTTGGCAGCAAGAATTCTTACTGTAACTATAATATATAACTATATAAAAGCATACCATCTCTTGTTTTTAATTGTTATGGGTAACTTTTTATGAATTCTTTTCACAATTATGCTTGGCAACTGTTCAAAGTCAAAAGTTGATAGTAAGAAAAGGAATAATTAAGTTGCTATAATATAAGTCGAGACTAAGGATGAGTAGTTGCGGAGGAAGATATGCAAAGGATATGCAATGTATTATTAGAACATGAATTCTACTACTATATAGAAAGGGCTTTTGAGTTTTGTGTGTGATAAAGCTTCTTGTCTGTGTTTCATGCACCTGATTCTTACATAGAGTTTCTGGCCGTCTTGTGGAGATCTGGATGTTCTTTCCTGAAATGGCACCCAAATATAACAATGTTTGGGCTAGTTGTTTCCCAAGATGGCCTCCACCAATAATCCCAATGTTCAGTCTTTGATTATCCTTAGGAGCCTGGGAACCAGCGGGTACATCCCCATAATTCTCTTCTTTCTGTCTGAGGGAAACCCTAAAACAGTTATTATTACATATACATACATAAAATTCAAAATGTAAAATATTTGCTATCTATTTCTTAGAGCACGAATGGACAACTGTGTAGAACATATCTTGGAATGATAGGCTAAATTTGAGTCAGCAGTCTCATATGTTCATGAAAAAGCCACTTTAAGCTGTATCACTAGAAGTGCATTTGCTGAAACAGAGCGGATTTGTTCTATTCTGCTTTGGTTAAGGTCACCCTGACTACTAGAATCCAATTCATGAAGAATGATGCAGGCTAATGTCAATATGCTCAGTGACAATCAGGAAGAGAAGTTAAAGAATGAGAAAACATATAAGAGCAGATGGATGTAACTTTTATATTTTGACCTTGAAAAGATTGAAAAAATTGTCGTACTATGTAGTCTTACTTGGCTCTCTGCTATTCTATCACATATAAGCCTAGACTGATAGTTCTTTTCAGCAAACAGCAGTTCTAGTTTAGAGCAAAAGAACTATCCAATTTTATAATAGGAAAGGGAAGACTGTTGCTTTTTGTGACTTGGGATCCTCCTGGACTCATGGTTCTTTCACATAGATAATGCTAGCCACAGGGACCACAGTATCAAGTATTCTCAGTGCCCTACACTCTCTATGGCAGTCTTTTTCCATCTTGGCAGCTTTAAGATGGGTGGACTTCAACTCCCAGAATTTTCTAGTCAGCAAATTGGCTGGAGAATTCTGGAAGTTGGAATCCACCCATCTTAAAGATGCCAAGGTTAAGAAACATTGCTCTATGGAATAGCAAACCCTGCTGGATGCCTTTCTTCTTGGTTTTTATAAATGTTATTAAAACATGATAGTTTCATCAGTAGCTGGAATGCTGTGAACTTGTTTCTTCTAGTAAAGGAAAGGCTTTTGACTCAAGTTTATTGTTCCCATGGGGTTAAATGATATTGTAATTTTATTTTCACTTTTGTTTCTGATCTAATTTATGGAAGTTGGGGAGTATACCCCTTGAGAATTTTTCACAACTAAAGCATCCTTTTCAATCCCCCAAAACATCATTTTAGAATTCCTAAACATTGCTATTATTTACATTTGAAAATTCAAGATCTTTGTTAATATTGCTATAAATTCTTCAGATGTCTAATAGTAACTCCTAACATATCTGACATTGTCCAATCATGTTATTTTACTCTAAAAATATAATTTATATTTACTTATAATTTCAATTTCTTTGACCACTCATTTGCTTGAGACAAAAGATTAAAAGCCAACTATAAACAAATAAAATTGCAAATGAAAGTCTTCCGTAGATTTGTCAGAGGAAAACATCCATAACAGATGATCTCCATGATTCATGGAATGTCCTGAAGCAGAGTCAATGGAAAAAGCTAGGTCTATAACATTCTCTTGAAGGACATTACGGTTGGGGCTGAAGGGACATTAGGGAGAATAGTGTTCCAGAGGGCAGTGACAGAGAAAGCTTGCCTCCTGGATCCTCTAAGATGGCATTATTTAGTACAGTGTGGTCTTAGGTCCCTTGGGGGAAGGTCTCCCACGACCTTCTCAGGTATCTGCAAAATCATAATTATTTTCAGCCTATGTTGATTTTTAACTTTAATTTTTATTACGGTAAATGTTAATAGGTATAACCCATAAAAACAAAAATCCTTTTGGGTTTCTCCATATTTTTTTTAAGTGGGAAGAGGTCCTACAAACATTTTTTAAAAGATTTATGAAACATTAATTTAATAGATGGGATCAGAAGGGATTGTGTCAGTTCTTATTGAAGGAGTAGGCACAATAGGAGAAAGAAACAGAGAAGGGGAGAGAGAAATATTTTTTTTTTGCCTTACTTGGTGGCATTGAGTAATTTGCAGAAGAAAAGTGCATGGGCACAAGCATTCACCATCAATCCTTTGGCACAAGACCTCAGATGAAACAGTGGCTCATTCGTCCCAATCCCATAATCTGGCTGGAAAGTCTTTAGGTTTGCCATAATATTGGACATTTCAATTGTCTGCTGAGAGCAACTGAAATCATAATAGAAATTACTTTTGTTGACCAACTGATGGTGGCCATCTATTGCATTAGTATGTTATTAAAGCAAGAGACAGTTCAGTTGTAGCACATGCTATAAAGCATGTACAGCACCTAGAAGTTGGAATGGCTAATGGCAGTTTTTGTTTCTAATCTATTTTATGATGAACATTTATTAATAAACAATTCTCTAGGAAGGTCTCCAAACTTGAGCCTTCCCTGAAGTTTTAGATTATCTATCGACCCCTAAACATTTGTTACATGAAAATTTTATAACTATCACTTTAATAGTACTATAATAATAGAGGGTGTTGGGCAACTATATCAATATCTTTAATAAATACTTCATAAAATAGATATTATTTAAAATATGAAAAATATAAGACAACATACCTTTTATTGAAACTTGATATTATTAATGAGAAAGACGTATCTGATAAGCATCAACAAAGGGTACTGATATTTGGTTGGAAATTGGTGGTATAGTCTTGCCCACTATGCGCGGTGAACGGGAATGCTATACATAACATATAGGGAAAGGGCAGAAGGTCAAAGACACAGTCTGAAAATCAGGCTTGTCAGATGTTACATCTTTTCTATCCTGCTCTATGGAGTGGAGAGTTGACAGAAAACCATTTGAAGAAACTAGAAGCATTTGAAATGTGGATTTACAGGTGGCTGTTGCATATAAGCTGGGTTGACAAAATCACAAATGAGGTGGTGTTAAGCTGCCTGGGAAAACAAAGGGAAATCATCAAAGCCATTAAAAAGTGAAAGTTACGACTATTTTGGACATGTGATGCGACACCCAGAAAATACAGCATCCTTCACTTAATCCTCCAGGGAAAAAATGAAGGCAAATAAGGTCCAGGCAGAAGAGGTCATGGCTTCAAAACCTAAGGGACTGGCTTGGACAAAACTCAGCAGCACTTTTTGATGCGGCTGTTGACAAAAATAGGATTGCCAACATGATCGCCGGATATGGCACAAGAGGAAGAAACAACAGAGTATATGGTGAATGGAGAGCACAGGCACACTTTCCCTAATCCAGGAAAGCCCAATCTAGGTGTCCTCCAGATATAAAATTAGAAACACAAGTAATCTATGCAGCAGGATAAATAGATGAGTGCCTCAGTTATCAGCCTACCTCTCAAAGGCAATTTATTTAGCTTACAAGGTACTCTAATCCGCTCCTCCTAAAAAGAAACTACATTAAAATGAAGTGCAGACTACAAAAGGAATAATTCTGATAATCCTTGCTTTATACTTACAATATATAGCTTCTGAGAGTGAAGCACCAAACGGAATCAGTGTTCTAGCTCTGACAGTTTGTGATTGGTTCAAAATAAAAACTGTTAAACGGCATAACCCCCAGTTCCTTATCAGAGAGCAAGTTTATTTGAATGTCAGGACAAAACTTTCCTCAACAAAACACCACTTTTGTCAGCATGTAGACAAATGGAAAAGAAAATCTCAGTTACCAGGTATAGAAACCACCAGTTGCATTGCACCAAATTTGTTTAGGTTTCTGGCTCCTTCCCACAAATTACCGTTCTGGCCTGCAGCTAAGGTCATACTCCAAACATAAGGTTGTCACCATGGCAAATGCTTGGTTACGAACCTGTTTTTAGAACTGTTTTTTTTTTTAATTTACTGATTTCATAGTTGCAGCCCTTAAAGGAGACAGCAAATAATTTTCAGCTTCCCATCAGAATCAAAGCAAGAGTTTTCTCCTCTTTTGAGCTTATTATGCAGTTGCGGTCCTTCCGTTCAAATACAGTGTATTAACACTGCACTATAAATTGTTTAAAAAATTGTAACAAATGTTGGTTTGGTTTAACCCAGCATTTTCCCACTTTTTACTTTTTCAATATGTTGGTTATATTAACTGAGAACCAGAGTTCATTACTACCAATAAATCTGCCCCAAAGTATTTTCAGAACATTCCTTGCCTATAAGCACAATTTATAGCTTAATGTGTTGTGTGGATCCAGCCAATTATAACTTAATTCACTCCTGATGGTGAGATTGTCAAATGTATTTAAATGTCAGAGGGTCCAATCCTTGGTTGAGACAATATATGAGTAGTTTCTGTTTCTAAATATTTCATTTTTGGAAAACACTAGCTATTTCTTTTTTACTCATCTTTACAGCCAAACAACAAGAGAAACCAAATATAAGGGAGGTAAAGCTTTATTTACAACATGGAAAGCGAAAGACAACATGAAGCCTAGAAAGAGGATGTAGATTTGCTAACAAACCTTGAAACATAACTAGCAAGGGCCAATTATTTTCATTGGAATTTGAGAGAAAATATAATTTAATTAGTTCAGTACACCCTACAAGAAGATTAGTAGTTTCCATGTAGAACTGAACTCACATTCTCACTGGCTGAAGGGCCATGCAGTTACGCACTCCAACTTTTAATGTGGAGTATGTATGTAGGTTTATTCTTAATAATCTTATGCAGCACTTTCCAAATAATTATCCTAGTTAATTAGTAATGGAGGCTAGAATAATGTGCAGGATAGAGTTTTCATATCACTAAGAACAACAGTCTTGCCCCTGAGATTCAAATGAGGGGAAAGCATATTTATTATATTTTTTGTCTTATGGAAAGCTGTCCTGATCATTTCAGATGATTAGACAGTGAAGAGGAAGTGGAAGCATTAAGTTCTTGACTCAAACATGCTTCCCATGTCTATACAATGTTGTCTTCCTCATATGTTTATACTGTGGAGTTCAACTGTTCGGATTTGTGCTTCATTGGTTAAATGTCTCTTTTGGCCAACTCAGTGCCACAGAAGTCTCTTTCAGCAAAGGCTTCACAGAGGCAGCATCTTGAGGCAACAGGCAAGTTGACAGTGGATTGAAATCAGTGCAGAACTGGCGTGGCAATCTTTCTCTTTGATCTCAATGGGTCAAAATGAAGTGCTTCCAAAAGAATGGAGTATCTTTCAGTTCTTCCACCGGATCTGCTAAAAGAAAAGCAGAATTGGATGTGGTCAATATCAAATACAATCACATCTCCGGGCTGAGAAAATAATTAGTAAATCTCTAGCTATCAAAGCCAATAGAAACAGAGGCACCTATAAGCAACTTATTAAAAAATAGATAAAATAAGATTTATTTATAGTCAAAACAAGAAAAATGTTACTGAAACTAAGTGATCCACTGACATGGCCTAAACTAACACAGCAATACTGATTTAAAGCCAAGAACATGTTTAAAAAGGAGAAAAATTACCAGTTTTCCATTTACACCAGCTGGATAAAGTAAAGGGAATAAACAATCATTTCCACAAAAACAGGACTCAGAAATGATTTAATCAGATCCATTTCCCCAAGCTAAGTATTTAAGCTGCTGATAGGTCTTTTGAGGATATTTTTCTACATGCTAAAATCCAAAAGCAGGTGGATGACGCTTCCTACTTGTGGTAAAATAAACAGAGGGAAAAATAAGACAAAGAATAATAGCAAGACTTCTGAAAAGGCTAGCAATTGATCTTCCCGTTCACTTTGATAATTTATAAGGCTTCAAAATTCTCGGTGATCTCAACTGACACCAATAATAAGAATGGGAGTAGATATCGGGATATGGATATGAAATTGCATCACTTAACGATACCAACAGTGGCAAAGAAAACATGTAACAAAACAAAGGGGTCCAGAGATAGAGCAACAAAATGTTTTCATTTCCTAGTATATCTCAACTGCAGGAACAGGGGATGAAGAAGTTAGAACAATTAATCAGTGGAACAGCTTGCCTCCAGAGATTGGAGGCAAGCAATGCCCCAACACTGGAAGTCTTTAAGAAGATGTTGGATAGCCATTTGTCTGAAATGGTATAAGTTTTCCTGCCTAGGAAGGGGGTTGGACTAGAAGACCTTCCAACTCTGCTATTGTATTGTATTGAAGGAGACACAGGGCTTACATTATATTGCCAACTGAGGTATGTGTGGCACTATTCAGTAATGGACCTTTGAATGAAATAACTGAAAATAGTTAATTTGCTCCACTTGATGTTTGGAACAGATTCTGAGATTGAAAGTGTTTAATTTTGCTGCATGTTTTTTGTGCCAGATTGATGGGAGTCTAGTAAAAAGCAAAATAAGTCTTGCAAATCTAAAGCATGTTTATCTTTGCATTACAGAATGCCACTCAGTATCTGGGTGACACAACAAATAGTGAATGTGTTTTCTTTGCTTTCAGCTTAGCATGTTAGGTACACTTAACTGATTACGGTTCAGTGTGATACATACATCAGGTCATAGGGCCTATTTGGCACACAATAGTTTTTTTTTAAATGTAGCAGCCCATGAGAAATGTTGCACATTTTTTGAAGAACTATATAAAAAGACAGTATGATTGCAACTTTGTCCAACTGTACCTACAAAAACATAATTCACTATTTGTTCATTTGAATGTATGAGCTACCCAACTGATGGATTCAGAGATCCAACATTGCAGGGTTCATTCCAAATTGCCTCCCCACCTTCGGAGGGTTTATTCTTTTTATACAGTTTTTACAAGCAAAACAATGAGCTCATAGCAACAGCATTATAATTGGTACATTCTCCTTGTCAATCTCTAAGAACATCCCACCCAGGGCATAGGCTTCACGTAACTCAATAGTTCCTGGTACTGCCTGTTGTTGTTAATTAGGTGAGCTCATAGGTTAAGAGGTAACCAGCCACTGAGATCATGGCAGTGTGCTGTGCATGTCTTTACGTAACCTTTCCTCTATTACTACATCCAACTCCAATACTTTTATTTCTGTTTAAACAGAACGGATAGGTAAATAATGTTAGATACATTAGTTTCAAGTACAACTAGAAATACTTTTATTTGTAAACAAAAAAGTGACCTGAACTAATTTAATAGTTTAATAGTACCGTTAACAGTTGTAAGATTTAAAGGAGATCCTTAACTCAGCAGGAATGGACCTAAAGCTAAAGTCCTAAACATATTAATTTGGAATTATAACAGCTTTCTTCTACATTAATAGTTAAATTCAAGAACCTATTATGAAGACCAAGGTTTTTCAAAATGTATCATATGGCTGTGAAAGCTAGACAAGCAGAAAGGTTGAGTGAAGTAAACTGTGATGCTGCAGAATATATTTGAAAATTTTGACTTGAAGGGGAAAAGGTTTTGTTTTTTACTGGTTTTAATGTGTTTACTGTTTTTACTGCTTTAAAATGTTTTTTTTAAAAAAATAATTGTAATATATGTTCTGAACTGTAAACTGCCCTCATTCGCTGTGATGGGTGGCTATAGAAGTTGAAACTAAATCATTCAATATGATTTTAAAAACAGACATATCGTAAGAAGCATAAGGAAAACTTACATATTTTGGACATATAATGCAAGAGCAAACCCCCAATGCCTTTAAAAATTGAAAGCAGGAGAAAAAGAGGCTGGCAGAAGACATGACATCACAAGTAGGAGAAGTTACTGACTGTTATATCCTGCAACATGAAGAGTCAGAAGCTACAGAGCATATGAACAACAAAAGTTCATTACAAGAATTTTGGGATGATCCTTGTTTTGCCACCCATATAAAGCACCATGAGAAATCTCTACTATGAAAATCTCAAATGGTTCCAACTAGCCAATCCATCTGATCTTGAACAAGGTCCTTCTCCCATCCTCCATGTTTGCAGGTGCTTTAATTGGCTGAAAGCAGAGCTGCCTGGGTTTTAAACCACTGGCACAACAGCTTCCTTTGAAGCACAGAGGCTAGTGTGATTTTGCTTAGCCAGCAGACTCATTGAAGCACAGACATTCTGGACACGTTGCTCTCTAGAAGTACTGTATTTTTCGGAGTATAAGATGCACCTTTTTTCCTCAAAAGAGTGCATCTTATACACTGAATATAGCATTTTTTGCCTCCTGAAGCCCCGCCCCCTTAACAAAAATGGCCATGCATATCCTTATGGAAGCTTTCAGAGAGACGCTGGGAGCTGGGGAGGGCAGAAATTAGCAAAAAATGGGCCTTCCCCCTCCCCCCAGCAACACTCTATAAGCCTCCATAAGGCTATGCATGCAATTTTTTTGACAAAAACGGGCCTGTTTTCGCGAAAGATGGGCTGTTTTTTTGCTAGTCCCCCCCCCCGAGCACTTTGCAAGCTCCCCCAACGCTATTCATGCCCGTTTTCACGAAAAACAGGCCATTTTGGGGAGGTTTGCAGAGTGCAAAAAGGTTTTTTTTTCCTTTTGGAAAGCTCTTTAACTGATTGGTGAGAATTACATTGATCAAGTGCTGGGCTAGCAGAAACAAAGTCTTAGGTGCTCCAGCGATTTCCTTCTCCAGCACATGGATAAATACACCTGGAAACATCTATCTACCTCCCTACTCTCTCTCTCTCTCCCCCTACTACCTACTGTATTTCTCTCTCTATTTCTCTCTATCCCTCTACCGACCAACCTACCT